AACACAAATCCCCACAGCCACGCTCCGAAATCTAGTGGAAAGCCCTCCCAGAAGAGCGGAGCTTATTATAACAGCAAAGGGGGACTGAATCTCACATGTGGGTGCGATTCCAAGTTGGAATGTGTCTAAAGCACAAAGTCATGGTAGCTGCCACTATGAATGTGAGCAGACGGTCAGATTTACATGGTAAAGTTTGTACGCATTTTGTGCTTCGATAAGGAATGCATTTTCTTCAAAAATTATCAGAATAACCCAGAAATTTTTGTCTAAAAAATTGACGTCAGTGCATAGATTTTTGATTTTGTGTTGTTTGGGTACAAAAATAAAAACAAACAAACAAACAAAAAGTTCTCACGCCATCCATTTTTTCTTGAACAAAACCACTTGAACACACACCACATCGTAATCACGATCTCTTCATGTGCACAAACTTTCGAGGAGCAAGGCAAGGATGCCCCCTGTCTCCCTGCTGTTTGTTTTGGCCATAGAACCCTTAGCTATAACTATAAGAGAGCACAAACACATTTCAGGCATAAGAGTTTGTGAATATGAACATCGAATTTCCTTACACGCAGATGATATTATACTTTTCTTGGCTAATCTAAAGGACAGCATCCCCCATTTATTGAACTTAATAAGAATATTGGGAACATCTCAGGGTATGAATTAAATACTTCTAAATCGGGTCTGATGTTTTTAAATAAAGATGAAAGGTTAAACCCTACTTTTAGGATGCCATTCTCAGATGTAAAGGAACAATTCACTTATCTTGGTGTTAAAATTACTCCTGATATCAATAAATTTGTTTCCACTAATTATGACTCGCTGAAGGATACAGTGACAGAGATGTTGAGTCTGTGGTCTTTGTTACTCATATCAATGATTGGCCGCATAAATGTTATAAAAATGATGATACTGCCAAATTCTTTGTATCTTTTTCGGTCTCTCCCGTTACTGTTAACAGACGCTTTTTTTTTTGATAAACTTAATCAGCTACTGAGTAAATTTATGTGGAATAATAAAAAGGCCAGACTTAGACTCAAGTTAGTTTATTTACCTTATGATAGAGGGGGGCTCCAACTGTCTAAGTTTAAATGGTACTATTGGGCTGCACAATTGAGATCAACTATGTTTTATTTCTCTATAGCAGCTCCCCCAGCCTGGATTAATATTGAACAGTTAGCCAATCTAGGACTTCCTTTGAAGCTTTACCTAAACTCAACAAATGTTAAAACATTATGTAAACAGACTAAAAATCCTAAAAGCAT